GGATGGAGAAAAGAGGTCCCTATGTCCTCCAGCAGTCTAAGCCTATAGCAGCACAAATGTAGAAAGTAGCTCCGGATAAACGAAGTATTTTGGATGATGAATAAGAAAGAAAGAGGTTAGAATTGTTATCAAGCTGAACAGTAACTGCTAACAGGCATTTTCGGTGAACATAAAAAGAAACTTGAGGATATGTTTGTTGAATTCATTCATAGGAGGCCCAGAAATGTTTGACCGTTTTCTGTCAGGGTTTGCATTTGGGCTTCAGGTGCTGTGGGATCTGTCTGCGCTTGCATGCTATGAACTTGAAACGGTGGTGGCTTCACATCGACGTTCTACGACCCTGATTTCTTACATAATGTTCTTCCTTCTTTTAGGGGAGCATCACATGGTTCCTTCAGCTCCAGAAGCCGGTAAGCATGACGAAATAAGCGTATCTACTGAATGTAATTAGAATGTAGCATTGAATTCAGTCTTATTTCCTCTGTAGAAATGGTTGATGATCCTCCTCCTGCATATGAGCCCTAACACAGCTTGCCTTAAGGTGAGACTTCAACTCTTCACCTGCACTTCAGAATATTTTTTTATTTCTGCACCACATTTCTAGAAAGCCTCTTCTTTCTCGTTGCAGGGGACTCAACGAGCGTTTATGCATTGATTTACTGCGTGACTCCAAATCAGCACTTCCTTCCTCGCTAAAACCACCCGTATGACATAACCTTCCTCCAGCTTATAACTGCGTATTTTCAGGGATAACTTACTGTAATTCACCACTCGGCTTACCACGAATCTGAACTCAGCAGAAACACTGTTAAAGACTCAAATGAAGATAAAACGAGATCGGCGTCGCCGGTTATGCGTGGAAAACAGAAGCGGCTTCCAAAAAGGTGGTTAAAATGTTGAGGAAAAACAGAAATATACCTACGATCCTGCATGGTAGGTAATGATGGGTATAAGAAGTGGACACAGGGTCCAGCCAGAGTTGAGAGGTGGATGAATATAAGCATACAGATTATATGTCTGTTGTTTTTTGTCTTTTTTAATGTTTTTTTTTTTGTTTTGTTTGGCCAACTCTGTAATTGTAGCCTTTGGCAGCTTATGGTGTGTTTGTCTTTTTATGTGATGATATGCTATAAGGAAAGCACTGAATCAGAGGGGGGAGGGGTTTAAAAAGTAGGCACTAGGATGTGTGGACTTTGTGTTTTAGAGCTCTTTAATTTTGTCTTTTTTGTTTTTATTTTTTAAATAAAACGTCAGAAAGCATTTTGTATGTTTAAGATTTGTCTCTAGAAGTATCAGTCATAGATGGTAAACAAAGATGCAGCACACTAGAAGAAAAAATCTGCTTTAACTGATGATTAAAATGCTTGAATTGGTAAAAAGTAATTGAATCTAGGGCTGCAACTAACGATTATTTTAAAAATCGATGAATCGGCCGATTATTTTTTCGATTAATC